CCTGGTATCCGGAAGCCTACTGGATCACCGATTAATTCGGATTCAAGCCGGGCAAGATCCAATGGGTAGCAAAGCTCTCCCTCACGAGTTTTAACGGAGCTGCATTCCCAAAACTTGAAACCAAAATCTCTACCAACTCATCCACCCGCTCATAAATCATTAGATAGATTAATAATTACTTCATAAATAACATAAAAAATGCAAAAAAAAAAGTGTTTTCCGAAGCGAACTGTACATTAAAAATATAGTCCGTCATATGAATTTACTAAAATACCTTGAATTAAACTTTATTTTATGTTATTGTGTTAAAGGTATTTTAGTAAATTTACAAAAAAAAAAAGAAAAAACTATACTTTTAATGTACAATCTAAAGTATATTACATAAATCTCTATAAATTTTTCTTAAAAAAATAGTTTGGTTTTCTTAGTTAGCCGATGTAGAAAGTAAACATATATTGAAATTGTATTATATATAGAATATACTTATGAATATATTCCGTCAAGAGAAAAGCTAGGCTTTAATGCAAGTGCATTCAATACATGAGAGTACTTATTTAAATTACCTTGTGTATACAGAAAAGAGATTATTTACTTTAAATTTCAAGTTGCTGATCTCCATTTGACCCAACTATGATGAGTTAATTATCATTATGATGATTTTTTAAACATTATATATATATATATATATATTATGCACTTGATTACCTCAATTTGAAGATGTTACTAAGGCAAGATAAAAGCTTTACTTGAAACCAACTGCATATCTACAGACGCTTCTATGAATATACTTACAGCTCTTACCTTGTTGACTGAGAAAATAGGACAGTTGATCCCAATTCCAATTTGGTCATCTCCATTAGTTCTTTGGAAGCTCGAAAATTCTGAAGCAAATATCTGCACTTGGTTACATCTACACACGTCCAATTTTTTCAGTAATGGCCATTCAGTATCAACCATTTGACAATAGAAACCTTTCAGTTTGGGTAGCCCACAAAGACGAAGGTGTGTCAATTTTGGCAAGACCAACTTAATGGGAGTTTCTACCAAAGTTGACTTAGTGGTTATTTGAGATTGTGATTGGATAGCACCAAGCCCTTGTGACTCGACTATCTCTTCTAGCGAATTGCAATTCAATATCTCCAGCATGTCTAGTTTCTGAAGCCTTTCCAACATGGTTAACGGGAAAATATTCAATAGCTTTCTACATGAATTTACACAAAGGTAATTTAGTTGGCAAAAAGAATCTGCATCAAGTTGGTCTTGCCATATCTTGTTCAAGCTCTCCATAGACCGAATCACTATTTTCTCTACACTAGGGAATGCCACCTGAAGAATTTACCCAATTGCATTAACAAGAAAACATAATCGGAGGGATAATTTAATAAACGATATTTGGAATTAAAAAAATGTAAAAGATTATGTGGTGAAACTACAACACATAGTGATGTTATACCAGACTTCACAAATGAAAAGTAAAGGAAATGTAAATAGAAGAAATCACCTTTGCATCGAAGAGAGGTGGTGGACAAGTATTCTCCACT